ATGGTACAGACTTAAATTGTACTATACAAAGGATCACTACAGGTGTGTTCTTCCTTTATTTCATGGCCTACTAGATCCCATCTCCTCACCTTTGCTTTTGACCTTGACCTTGTTCTTTCCCTCTCTTGACTTCATCTTTAGTCTCTCCCAATGATGTGTCTAGATCTCGGCTATGTTTTATCTTTCCCTCTTTTTCATTTTCAAAATCCTAGAAAGATTGCTCCTACTTCCCTCACCACATGCTCACTTCTTAACCCCTTGAAATCTGGCTTCCTATTCCATTGCTCAACTGAAAATGTTCTCTTCAAAGGTTACAATTCCCTGTTTCAGAGGAGGTGCTTATCTGCTTTGGTAGAAGGGATTGCCTTACTTGAGGACTTTGTCTACCAATGAAATTACAGGTTCACTTCCTATCCCTATCCCTTTCAAAGGTTACCAATAACTGCTCAATTTAATGTTTTGTTTTGTTTTGTTTTTTTCAGTCTTCATCTTCCATCTTCTCTTAATTTTTTGATAAACTGACTACCCTGTACTCCTGGGTATTCTTTCCCTTCTTAGCTTGGTTTTCCTTCTGTTTAATATTCTTTTTCAGGCTCATTTGCTAGCTCATTATCTGTCTTCCACCCAGTAAAGACAGTCCCTCAAGGTTCTGTCCAGGGACCTCAGAGGGCCTCAGATGTCCCTTAGAGCTCTTCGTTATGATTCTAAGAGTCTATGATTCATCTTTTCTCTTTATCTTCATCCCCTTGGTGATCAGCTCCTAGGGTTTCAATTCTCATCTCAATGCAGTTAACTCCCAATTCTACAAGCATAACCAGATTTCCCCCTTCCAAAAACAAGAATAACCTACTATTTGACCTTATCATCCCCTCAAGTTATCTTCCTATCTTTGTCTTCTCTCTAAGAGCCAAACTGTGAGAAAAAGTTTTATACACACATGATCACCAAGTTCTCACCTCCCACTCGCTTCCCAAACTCTTACAATCTTTCCACCACTTAATTGACTGAAACTCTTCTCTCCAAGGTCACCAATGCCTTCGTTTAAACTATGATTTTTTTTTTTATTCTGAACTTAACAAACTCCAAATAAAATAAGCATTATCACAAAGTGGAGCAGATAATAAGGCATATATACATATAAAGTTATAAAAATCTCTACTTATGTATATTTTTCTTTTCCTTTCAAGCAAATAAAAAATTAAATATATTATTTTCAAAGCTGTCCTGGTCTGTTTGCTTCTGTGCTTTTAAAAATGTTTCAATGACCCTTTTTCTTTTTTTCTTCTTTTTTTTTGGGGGGGGTAATATTACTGCTAGCCCTATTCTTTACCAGTGATTTCTTAATTGCTAAATCTGATGTCCTGTTCTTAGCTCTCATTCTTCACCTCTTTGCTGTGTTTGATCTTGTGAACTATCCCTTCCTTCTGAATACTCTCTTTTCCTTGAGTGAGTATTCATTCTGTTATGGTTCTCTCCCTACCTGTGACTGTTCCTTCTCAGGGATCTTTGAAGGATTATCCATCCACATACTGTCCCTGATGCATGGATGAGCCCCAGAGCTCCATCCTAGCCCTCTCTTCTTTCAGGGATCTCATTAGCTCCTTTGGGTCCAACTACAATCTCTATGCAGATGAATTCCAAATCTACATATCCAGCCATCATCTCCCTTGAGTGTTAGATCCCTATCTTTAACTGCCTACTGAATATCTCTACCTGGATGTCCCATAAACATCTCAAACTCAATAGGGTCAAAAGGAAATTCATTGGCTTTTCCTTTAATTGTCCCCTATCCTCCCTTCCTCACTTCCTTATCCATGTTGAGGGAATCACCATTCTTCCAGTGACCAGGTTTTCAAATAGCAGATCATACTTTACTTCCCTCTTACGCCTCCTCCACATGCAATCAGTTGCCAAGTCTCATCAATTCCGATGTCAAAACATTTTTAATGAGCATCCCCTTCTCTCCATTCATGAAGTCATCATCCTAGTTCAGGCCTCTAACACCTCTTGCCTAGATGTTTTTTTTTTTGGTGAGGCAATTGGGGTTAAGTGACTTGCGCAGGGTCACACAACTAGTAAGTGTCATGTGTCTGAGACTGTATTTGAACTCATGTCCTCCTGACTCCAAGGCCAGAGCTCTATCCACTACACCACCTAGCTGCCCCTCTTGCCTAGATTGTTACAGTAACCATCTTACTGGTCTCTATGTATCCAGTCTCTTCCCCCTTCTGATTTATTCTCCATACAATTCCAGAATATCTCCATAGATATTCCTAAAACACAGCTATAACTATGTCACCCCATTCCCAAGAAGCTTCAGCATTTCCCCATTGCCTCCCAGATGAGAAACAAACTCCTTTGGCATTTAAAGCCCTCCACATTCTGGCTTCATCCAATGTTTCCAGGCTTATTACACATTATTCCCCTTCGTGCCCTCCATACTCTAGCCAAACCCTTGTTTTCTTCATTAGATGATGTTTCATCTCCCCTCTAAATCTCTTTGCATCCCCACGCCTAGAATACTTTCCTTTCTCTTTTCTGACTCTTGGAACTCTATAGCTCCCTTCAAAACTCAACTCAACCCTACCCACACCTCCCAGAACACATTTTCTTGTTCCCCCATCGATTAGTGCTACACTTCTCAATCATTTTCAGGCAGATATCACTTTTACCCCGATTACTGGAATAACATCTTAATTTCTCTTCCTAACTCCTGTCTTATTCTCTGTGATCCAGCCACCATTCCACAACCAAAACAATCTTTCTAAGCTACAGGTCTGAATATGTCACTTCCTGGCTCAAAAAATTTCTGGGGGATCAATGATGCCTCTAGAATAAAATATAAGACAGGGGACCTCAAAACCTGACTCCTACTCATCTTTCCAGTCTTTTGTCATGTTACGCCCCTTTATACTGTGTTGCACTGAATTATTAGTGGTTCCTCAGACTTGACCATCTATCTTGCCAATTCATTTGCCTGGAATGTGATACCTCCTCATCTTCACATCTAAGAACCCTAGTTTTCCTTCAAAGCTCAGCTCAGGTACCTCTTAACTCTGTGAAATACTCATTTGCTACCATTATCTTCCTCTTCAAATGATGACTTTGCATCAAACTTATCCTTATGTTCTTATATGCCTCTATATTCCTCCCACTTAGTGAAATGGAAGCTGCTTGAGACAGGGGACGTCTTGTTTTTGCCATCTTTGTATCTCAGCACCCGACACAATGTCTTGTACATAGCAGGTATTAAGTGACATTTACATTTTAACCAGGGTTATCCTTAACATTCCCCCCAAAAGTAACCCAGAGAGCAGAAATTTCAGGCACTGTGATAGACCAATAGGACTGATATTTTGAGCCAACCCCTTCCACTTTCACTCTCTTAATTCTATTTATACAGAATATTCTAGTTATACAGAAATATCATACAGTTTTATCAAAACATCATAGGAAAACGCAGGTTTGCAAGGAAACAGCAGCAAGAAGAGAAAAAACATTAACACTAGAATCAGAAGTTTGGGGTTCAAATGCTGCCTCTGACACTTTCTGACTTTGTGACTGGGCAAGTCACTTCACCACCCTGGGCTCAGTTTCTCTGAAAGTAAAATAAGGCAGTTGGATATTATAGTCCCTGACATGCCTTCTAGCTCTAGCTATTTGATCCTAGGAACCAAACAGTAAAATTAAGAATTATTTACACAAAAGGACGCACCTCAAGTTGTTTTAGACAGCTCACACTGCCTTTAGCTTCCTTCATGCCCATAGATGTGTCAAAGTCCCATTCAGACACAACTTTTCATTAACACACCCACTATGTGAATCAAGGTTTTGCACCCTGAAGGCATAACCTATTCCCTCCCCACCCCCTCACCCCCCCCCACTTCATGTTGAAGTGAAACTGTCCAGCAGGTTAGGCCTCGCCCCATTCACAGACACCTGGATTTCTGGAAAGCTTCCTCAATTACTTCCTTAAGAATATAAACATGTCACTTGGATAACACCAATAAGGTCTCTTTGAGGGCCAGCCTGCACAGTCTCTTCTCACCCCCGGCCCCAGCAGCCCATCCCCCCTAGCTGAAAATGCAGCTGGGATGTCGGAGTGGGAAAAACCCAAGACCTGGCTTCCTAGGGTCCCTGGAGATCACTGGAGATGTTTCCTGTTTTAGGAAATGCTGTTTGGGGTGTGCTGCATCCTCAATTTAAATCTGGAGTAAGCCTTGGAAAGCTTATTTTCACTTAACAGACTCCATGTACAGGAGCGGTTGCCATCACAAGGAAAGATGGGATAAACACATCACCCCCGCATATTGCACACCCTCCCAATTCCTCCCCCAGATCTGAACTGCAAAATTTCTCACTCCATGAAGCCAGGTTAGGAAGCAAGGTGCTTTCAAGCTCGACTTTGGCCTGCCTCCCACTCCCTTTCAGAAGAGGGCCTCCAGAGTTCAGCAGCAGGAATGGGAGGCTTTTGTAGGTGGGTGCCATTTTTAAAGTCAGAACAAGTGTCAAAAGCCACACAGGCACACACAGAGTCCAGTGTTAAATGTCAAAAGGCAGAGCAGAATTCCTTTTCATTGTGATATAGAGCAGGAGTCTTTTGAAATTATAGATTTCAATTGCTGAACCTCCTAAACGATGCTTATCTTAACAAATATTAACAAGTTTCCCAATCTCCCGCAATAATCACCGGTGCTGGGTGTAATGATCTACTTAGCAAAACTTAAGTACCATAATCTCTTTATTTAAAGAAAAAAAATCATGAAATGATATTATACCATGGACTTATTTGCTTTCCCCATAGACTGCCACTAAATCCTGTTTAATATGAGTTGAAATCTGTAGGCTTGACAGGTATGGTTTTCTCATCAACTGCTTGCAAAGAACGGTGTTCGCTCTGAAGTACCAAAGAGGCAATAATGAACATGGAAAAGCACATGGCAAAGTTTATGGCCCTGGCCTTCAGACTGGGCAAAGAGATCAAAGGCTAGAGTTCCTACCTTGGTGACTGGTCAGTGACCGAGAACCAGGAGGCAGAGGTGTATATGGCAGCTGAGAAGACACAGAAGCAACATCCTTGGAGGCCTACAGGATAAAACAAAGGGTGGTATTACACAATTACTCAACACAATTGTCTCTTGCATTGGTATGCACCATTGGAAGCACCTACATCAGTAACTCCCTACCTTTTCTAGAAATCAGTCCAGACTAGACACTGATGAGACTGAAAATTAAATTAAAATAATCATTGATTAGGGGTTGGCATGTCCAGATTAATAACTTTATTGGAATGGAGAACTCCCCATGGGGAAAGCTTTTCTGCTGATACAGACTAGGAAATAGTCTATAATCTTATATTTAGAAAGTTACCTAAACCACTGTCACTTGCCCATGGACACACATTAATTCATTCAATAGCATTTATTAATTACTTCCTGTATGCTAGTTGACAGCAAAAAAAGGTCTCAAAAATATATTAAGAGATTTGATCGTTAAAAACTCAAGACCACATACATACAAATATATACACATACACATATGGAGTTCAGCAATTCCAAGAGGCTCTTCTGCCAGGCTAAAAATTATGAGTCCCCAAACCTTTCAAGCTATTGGAAACACAGTGAATATATCTGACAGACAAAACTTGAACCCAGGATCTATATTCATCGATACTCTGTATCAACTTCACCACACCACCTCTATACCTCCTTTGAAAATGGACAGACCTCATGTACAGCAGTGATTATTCCAGTATAAAGACAGCCTTCAGATTTTGGACTATAGGAAGGGTATGTCCCAAGCTACTATCTGCCCTAACTCTCTTTAGCAGGAAATTAAAAATGCCCCTGGCGGTATCTTTGTAGCTGGCTATGAACTTGTAATATTCAGGATATAGGGGAGATAAGCATTACTGCTATTACATTTGTTGCAGCTACAGCTCAGACAAGGGGATTATCCAGGGCTAAAAATGGCTTTTCCTTCCACTTGCCCCTCTCCTGACTGCAGACCCAGCTCCCCGAACTCCAGCTCCCTGGATTCATTTCACTCTGGGTTTGAGTCTAAGAATTTATCCTTTACAAAGCAATGCTTCCAAATGTCCTTGGTAAACCTTGGGTCATGACCCATTGAGTCGAGAACCCATGGATTCAAGACACCTTCCAGGAAGTCATCATAAATAAGAAGGCAGTAAAAGCCAAGGCATCATAACAGAAAAGCCAACCCCTTGCAAGGAACCACTATTTCCCTCTGGCTGCCATCATCTGTACCAGAAAAACTTAATGAGTATTATATGCCTAGCACATAGTGAGGACTTGGTAAATATTGTACCTACTGTATATGCTTTATGAGTGCATCATAAAACTTGTGGATTTTTCATTGTGAAATACATAAATTTATGTATCTACACATATAGGTATAAATTAAATTTATATAGAGCATATATGCATATATATTTGGAGATGTCACAATAAAACATGCATATCATATGTATTAGAACATATTATGTTACATTATTCTGTATTATATTATGACATGTTGTATCATATCATATCAGTATACATAGGAATAAATAACATGCAGTTACAGAGCCCTCATTGCTTAGAAGCTAGATTTTTTTAAAACAGTTTAATAATCACTTCATTTTTTTTCCTTTTGAGATAGAAAATAAACTTTAGGAGCCAAGTTGGACCTTCCAATGAAAATACCTAAACGCTGGTAATCAAATATAAGTAAAAATTTGATCCAGTTAGAAAAACCACATAAGCTTCAGTCCTGATGTTGGGGATCCTTGACTTTCATGCTTTCAATAAGACATGGAAAGAGAGCTCCTGCCTCTTTCACCTTGAGTATCCTATGAATCTAGGAGCACAGTATACCAAAAGCATTATTCCCAAAGTATTCACCACCTGCAGAGGCAACCCACTCCACTTATGGATAACTCTACCTGTTAAGAAGATCTTCCATCCACTGCTCTGAGTTTCTGCCTTCTGATCTGAAGCACAGCAAATCTGTATTGATGTCCCCAAATACTTGAAGACAACTATCATTCCCCACCCCTACGCCTCCTCTTTTCTAGGATAAATATTCCTAGTTGATTCAATCATTCCTTACAAGGCCTTTTACCATCCTGGCCATTTTCTGCTGGACACCATGTAATTTATCAATGTCCTTCCTAAAACGTGGCATTCTGAACTGAACCATAATACTCCACTTGTGGCCTGGCTGGGGCTAAGAACAGAAAAGCTTTCATCTCTTTATTTCTAGGAACTATGACTCTTTTAAAGCAACCTAAGATCACATTAGTTTCATTTAGCTGCCGTGTCTTACTGGTCATGGAGAAGCTCCAGAGTCAGAAATTCAGAGGCAGAAAAGCACCTTAGAGATAATCTCATCTAAGCCATGCATTTTACAGATGAAGAACCTGGGGCTCAGAGAGGCTAAATGACTTTTCCAAAGTTACCCAGAGAGTAAAGGGAAAAGGCAGAATCTGAATTCTAGTCCTGTGAATCCAATTTCAGGTTCTTTCCATTGAACCACACTGCCTCCCATGCTGACTCATGTTACACTTACAATCCACTAAACCCACTTAATATTTTCAGATGAATTCCTGGGAAGTAGAGGTGTCAAATTCAAATAGAAATGGGGCAACTAAGCCATACATAAGGACCCCTAGAGGCCACATATTGACTTAGAAAACTACATATTAACATTACATTCTATTGTATTTTAATTTATTTTGTTAAATATTTCCCAATTATATTTTAATCTGGTTCAGGCAGAGACATGCTGACAGTGGGCTTGATACCTTTGCTGTAAAGCCATGATTGTGCCATCTTGTAGATGAGACTTTATATTTATTCTTATTCAATTTATTCTTATTAGACTTGATTTGACATCCTTGTTTCTTAAGACCTTTTTGGCTCCTGACTCCACTATCCACTATGTTGGATATCCCACTCAACTTTGAGTCAATAGCCAATTTAATAAGCATCCTACCATACCTTTGTCCATGTCACAGACAAAATGCTAACTAGGGTGGGTCCAAACCTAGATCTCTTGGACCCTTTACTATAACTCCTTCTGAGCTGAGACTAAACCATCAGTGCCTGCTCTTCGAGTCTGTCCATTCTACCAGTTTGGAATCCATATAATTGTATTCAACCAAGCAAGCATCTATTAGGCATCTGCTGTGTTCTCAGAACTATGCTAGGTTCTGAGATACAAATACAAGATTAAAACAATCCCTACTCTCAAAAAGTTTGAATTTACTGGGGGGAAATGGACTCATATATTTGCATTCGGAAGAAATATAAAGGGAATAAATTCAAAGCAAAGAAATGCAAGATAGGGATGGGGGGACACTAAGAATTGGGGGAGTCAGGAAAGGCTTTGTAGAGAAAGGAGGATTATCTGCTTCTTGAAGAAAGGGCCAGGTGGAAGTGAAGTTGAGGAAGGGCTTTCGAGGGATAGGGGATAATCAGTTCTACAGCACCATGACATGGGTGGTGGGGAGAGAGGGAAGAGAATAAGCATTTACATAGAGCCTATTCTGTGCCCAGCCATGTGCTAAATGCTTTACAAATATATTTGTTTTCACAACAACTCTGCAAGGTAAGTCCCAATTTTATAGTGGAGGAAACTGAGGTAAACAGAGGTTAAATAACTTTCCCAGGTTTGCAGAGCTAGTAAGAGTCTAAGGCTAGATTTGAACCCAGGTCTTCTTGACTCTGGGTATTCTCTTGGCTTAACTACTTACCTGCCTCAGGACCAAAAAAATGGGAAATGAGAAGTTGTATGTGAGGAACAAAGAGAAGGCTGGTTTGACTACATTCCAGAGTATAAAAGGAAGAATAATGTTCATTGAGACAGAAAAGTAGGTTGGGACTAGGATGTAAAAGGTTTTAAAATCTACACATTTATTTGATCTGGGAGGGCATAGGGAACCACTAGAGCGACTGAGGAGAATGGTGTTCATGGTCAGGTCTATAATCAAGGAAAAAGAAATCATTTTTGTGAAGAGTGGACTAGATCGGGGACAGACTTAAATCAGGAAGACCAGTTAGCAGGCTCCCACAACAGTGCGGGTGAGAAAGAATGAGGACCTGAACTAAGGCAGGGATTATGGGAATAGAGAGCTGTCTGTCAGACTCAAGAAATGTCACCAAAGTGCGAGACGTGGTAACTGATTAGATAAGCGGGGAGGAGAATGGGAAATGTACAATAATACCTAGTTACAAACCTGGGAGACTAGTTCACACCTTTCCATCCGTTCCATTAGAATAACAGGAAGGTGTTGTCAAATATACCTCTAAAAATCTAGATGAAACATATGTGTATGTATATATGCGTGTGTGTATGCACACACACATGCATATATACATACATGCACACACAGATGTGTGCACGCGTGTATGCACACACACACCCATGTGTGCCATGCATGGCGCACACACACATACACACATGCACGCACATGTGTGCATACATGTACGTGTTTACATGTGTGCACGTGCGTGCATGCGTGCACGAGTGTGTTTGCATGCATGCACATGCATGTGTACAGGTGTGTGCGTGCACGCATATGTACATGTATGCACACGCGTGTGTGCGCACATATACATGCATGTACACACGTGCGTGTATCTATCTGTCTCTATCTATATATCTATATATATCTATATATCTATATCTATATCTATATATCTATATCTATATCTATATATCTATATCTATATCTATCTATCTATCTATCTATATATATTATATATAGCATTTCTCTGGGCTCCCTGTCTAATTTATCTACTGCAAAAGAGGAATGGCATGGCTTGTTTACGAAACGCCCATGCTGGCTTTTAATGACCACTGGTTTTATGTGTGTGTATGTTAGAAGTTTCAGTAATTCTCCCTTTGAAATGTTCTATAATTTTGCCAGAAAATCACAGCCATGTTCACTTCATCTATCAATTCTATTTTCTTCTCACTTTAGGAAAAGACAGGAAACAATTTGCCCTTCTCCTACCCCACGTACCTCTTTCTCCCTTGGTCTTTCAAAGATTGGTGGGTAAATCAGCAATCATGTCTACCAG